GATCAGTTAACGGGGCAGATAAAATATCGGTATTAAGATTGTCTTCAAGTGTACGGGAAACTAACCATAAATCTATTCTCAATTGCTTAGACCTTGACTTATTACACGAGGTAAAGGCTCTGGTATGAGGATGCTTAACTCTCCAAGCATCAATCAGATCAAATCTTTCCATCAACATTTTTAGCTTTACATTTGTATTAGTACAAGAACCAGGATGTTCCTCCTAGTTCCTGGATCGCTGAGGTGTGTGCTCTTCCGTGTGCATTCCAGCTCCTGTAAAGGAAAGGACTCTGATCATTCCACTCATCATATCCTTTAAACTGTTCTACGAATTATACACTCACCGTGTCATCACCTGGATCCTACACCCGTACTCTCTGTGACCAAATAAAATTGATTGATATACTAACCTGTTGCATCAGACCTCTTCCGTTACAGAAACATGTTTAACACATAATTAGTGTTTCATCACTGTATTTTTTAAAAGACAGGAAACACAATAAAAGGATCATTAAACTGTAAAACTAAATTTACTACATTTATTTGTTTCATCAATAATGCATGTGTCATGGTGCACCTACGGTGAGGAGCGAGGAACAAGGAACGAGGAGAACGCTGGAGAATCAGGATACACAGTCTTTATTGACATTGACACCACAGGAATCACACGTAGGACACGGGGATTGACGATCAATACCGGATGGGAAACGAGGGGCAGAAAACACTTTAAATACACTGAAACTAATGTGACACACCTGGGAATAATGGAACAGAACGTGGAACACCTGAAACAAATGACAACACAATCAGGACAGGAACAGGAAGACCAAATAAGGAAATAAACATAACCTGGAGCACGTGGGGGAAGAAAACACACACAGACACGGAACAGAGTCTGACATTACAGGGTGGGCGCCCTGGAGGCTGGTGCAGGACTGAAACACGGGGAATACCTCCAGGGCAGATCAGGCAGTCCATGGTGCCATGGCGGCACAGGGAGCAGGCAGCTCTGGGAGCCATGGCGGATCAGGCAGACTAGGAAGCCATGGTGGAGCATACAGTTCAGGAGGCCATGGGGGAACAGGGAGCTCGGAGAGCCATGGCGGGACAGGGAGCTTGGGGAGCCCTGGCGGAGCAGGCAGCTCAGAAGGC